CAAATTGCACTCGCCTACGGCTCGTGAAATTTTGAGAACTTTCAAAACATCACTTGTGCCCATAAATCACGAAATGCACTCGCGTTCATACGATTTCCTATACTTAAATACACTTGGTAATTAGTTTATTATTTACCAGTGGAGCTGAGGCAGGATGGATTTTAGAAGATTTAATTCAAATTGTGTAACTTATAACTTACAGGTGCCTGAAGATTTCCTGTGAAGAATTTTCTGACTTGTCTTGAGACAACAATCTGTGCTGGTGTGACAGGGGGTAGCCTGACCCATTGACCACCAGCTGTTGTAAGATTAAAATAAACACTTTATTAAAAGGACACATAATAATTCCCCCAGCTCACAGTCTGCCATACAATATTCTTATGATGTTAGTTTGGAGACTTCGGTATTGGATCAACAAATAATCCCCTGAATGATATTTTTCTTTATTCTCATCACTTGTCTGTTTGATATTGTATTAATATTGTAAGAAGAAATTCTGTCTTGTTCACTCATATAGTTAGGGGGTTAAACAAATCATGATCTATGAGTCTGAAGCAACTCACGTTCATTGGATACAAAGTATGTTTTCTTGTTACAGCCTGTTCTGTTTTCTTCTTTGGGGATTACTGGAGGTGGTTTGAAGTCTGCCTGTGGAGCATCATCTTCCTCTACATCAAAATCTCCTAAAGAAGAATAGAACTTTACATGTAAATATATCTATATGTTGATTGCATGCACAAGTATGAACCACAATTAATCAAAATGCATGGGGCCAATAAATTCAAGGGCATTTAAAATAATTATGAATAAAGTTGTCATCTTTGAATGTGTGGGGGATCAAATTTTTCTTTGGTTGTTGTCTTCTTTTTTTCAGATTATGATAATAAATATAAGACACAAAGATAAATAATTATCGACCTGGTTTGAAGTGCAAAATATCTCTCACCTTCTTTAATGATGTCTGTTTTTGTTTCATTCTATGGTAAAAAGAAAACAATTAAAAAAAATATTAACCATTTCCCAAAAGCTTGCTGTACTTGAACTTGATAATTTTTTTTCCCATGTTAATTAAAAGTGAAACAAAAAGTTCTTGAAAAATTGCCTGTCCAATTTGAGCACTGATAGGACAGTGTGCATGTTGTGCTTGTGTGATTGGATAGTATGCCTCCATGTGCATGCACTGTTATGCTGCTTTTCATCTTGACTCAAGTATCTCATTACTACCATGGTCCTGAAAAGGATTTGAAGTGTTTGGACTAAAAATTCCAAAGTAGACAAGGATCAATTGTTGTCAAGTCCAGCCTTCTGTCCCAAAACTTGGTTTAACATCTTTAAAATATTGGATATCAGGCTGATTAGGAAATATGTATAACTTAAGGATATAGGTTCTAACCTCTTGTTGTTCTAGATGTTGTTCATCATCAAGTGGCTCCTCAGGGTCTTCTCCTTCAAAGAACTCCACTTCAGCGATTAAGTAATTAGCATGGATGCCAAATATTTTACCTGTTAGAATAAAATGTAAATTAGTTCAGTTAAAGACAAATCACTTATCTTTCCATACAGTGATCCTTTACAGAAAATATAATCCAAAACTTTTTGCTATGATTATTGCTCTTACCCCAAAATCTGCATGTCCTAATTGGGTATGTGTCAATTAAAATCTTCAGAGACAAAAATATTCTAAATATTTCTTCTCTGCCAATGCCAATACCAGCTTGTTCAAAGTAGTTGGCAAGTTCCATCAGATCTGGTAACGGGGCCTCCTCCTGCTCCTCTTCCATATCTGGATCTCGCATCAAAGGCTCCAGTTCTTGCTCAGTGGGTTTTCTCTGAAAACACAATTTTGATACAAAAGATACCTAGCATCAGGTTAACTCCGTACTCAAACCAAGCCACCCATGCAGCTGGAACTTATCCCGGTTTCTATAGCATGAAGCAACTAGGAATATCACTACTCCCCCCTGGATGAGATGTTAGTCTATTGCAAGGCTACCCCTATCATTTCATTAGGCTACATTTATTGACAATTTACAAGAACCCATTTGCATGTATACTCTGAGATAGAGAGAGGGGCTCTGTGAAAGTACAGTGTTTTGCCCACAAACACAACACAATGACCTGGTCAGTTTGTGAACTCAGGCCTCCCAACATAGAGTCCAGCACTCTGACCATTTGGTCACCACATCTCCCACAATGCCTTGCACTCATCATACTAAAATGCTCTAAATATGTATTTAAGAATTTAGGTAGCAGATGGATACAAGAAAATTTGGTACAGCTTACTTCAAATAATGCCACCTGAGACCTTGCAAGTAAAACCTCTGTAGATTCATCTTCTTTATTCTGGAAGAAGAATATTAAAAAGAAATAAGGCATAATTATCAACATTGCAACTTAATCTCAATGGATCTTATTATGCTCACAGAAACACCAATCAGAGTACACTATTTAACAAATGGATTCCATGTTACCACGCTCCTGTTCAGTAATGGATCATAGATGATGCGCCTTATGTGGCACTGTTGTTTTCACCACATTATAACATCTTCTGTGTTCTATTACAGTTTATAAAATAATTCAAATAGTACGCGTGCTCTGATTGGCCATAAAACCATTTT